TTGGTTGTTTGATGATGCATGTAGGGGATTATAATCAATGTTTTGTTTGCAATGAAACAAAATACGGTAGGATGAATGTAAAGCTAATGTTCTCCCATGTAAACTATCACATAATTCACAATAAAAACTTAAAAATAAAAAAATAAAAGAATATTTGCTATAGTTACTTAATCTGAGCAACATAATATCAGCAAATCAAGAGACATTTGAAAAATATAATCTTTCACAAAATTGCACAGTCATGGTGTTTACTTAGAAGAAAATATTTTGGGGGTCACTTAGCACCATGTGTGTTGTTGTTGTTGTTGTTAAGTGCTGTTGAGTCGGTTCCAAGTACCATCGAGTCGGTTCCTACTCACAGCAACACTGTATAGGGTTTCCCAGGAGTGGCTGGTGAGCTTGAACTACCAACCTGGTGGTTCAAATCGACCTTGCCGTCCAACTTATTAACCTGCAGCGCCACACCAGGACTCCTATGCATATGCAACATTAAATCATTGCAATATGTTTTTAAATATAATTAGCAAAAAAAATTTTTTATCTATCAACTTTAGCATTATGTATCTGCAACATTAAATAATCAATATAGTATGTCATCAAAAAAAATTTTTCTCTAGCTTTAATCAAATTCATAAGGCAACATTTTAATGACAAGACATCATTTTCTTTTTTACTTTTGTTTATTGTTAAAAACTAAAGAACACAATAGGAACCTGGTGTGGCACTACAGGGTAAGCATTGGACTGCTAGCCACAAGGTCAGCAGATCAAACCTACTGACTGATCCTCAGAAGAAAGATAAGGCTTTCTGCCCCATAAAGATTTACAACCTCAGAAACCCCATATAGGAATCGACTTGATGACAGTGAGTAATTGAGTTGTCAGTAAATCATATTACTAGATTTTCAAGTATCGTATGAACATACATAAACAGTTTAAATTTGCATCCACTTACTTTTCTAATCTAAGGAGCCCTGGTAGTATATTGGGTTACATACGAGTTGGGCTGCTAACCTCAAGGTCAGCAGTTCGAATCTATCTGTTGCTCTTCTGTAGAAAGATGAGGCTTTCTGCTCCTATAAAGACTGACAGCCTCGGAAACCCTATACAGGTCACTATGAATCGGAACCAATTTTACAGCACACCATCATCGCCACTACTTTCCTAATCTAGGTGTCAATTTCATATCACAATTCTCTGGAAATGTTCACAGAGTTCATTTTGTTCCATTTTTCTCTTGTCACACACACATTTGCTTTACACTGCACCATCTTATTTTAACTCTATTCTGAAGATTTCTAGATACTTCAGCTTTTCAAAAAGTAACAAACTATTTGTCACTATTTGTGAAATAGTGGTAACAGAGGGAATGCGAGCACTTTTTAATATAATAAATGTGACTTTTGTAAAAACACATTTACAACTGGTTTTTAAGGAATTCGCTTCAAAGTACAAAATAAAAAATGAGATTATTATAAACTCAATGTTTCAAAGCTGAATTATACATTTTTAAAGTTATATTTTTAAGAACACTACAATGATTCAGAAATATGAATAATGTTACTGATTAACTAAAATTACAGGCTTGTTTTAATTTTTAAGACACACAAAACTCTCAGAAGAACCATTAGCACACATTATTTTTAAAAGAAAAAAATGGGTACATAGGATACATACTCACCTTCAGGCGTCTTGAAATAGTCTGGTAAAATTAAAATGATTGCAATAACTATTGCCACAAATAGTTTAAGGAAGGCTGTTTTTGTCATGTCTACTCACATGACACAAACATGCTTCCATCTGGTACACCGACAATATGTTTCTTCCGGTTTTACGTTTCATCTCTGTGGTAGTTTTAGTTCGTGCAGATTAGGTTGTATTCACTTCCTTTGGGTAAGACTTACAAGGAGAGAGAGAGAGAGAGAGAGAGAGAGAGAGAGAGAGAGGGGCCTTGAACTTATTTTGAGTCACTTTCCATTAAGAGTTACCAATTAATAACACTACCAAACTATCTCCTAAACAAGAAAGACAAGATTAGCTCAAAAAGCAAAGAGGTCTTGTCTAATCTAATTTTGCAGATATTTTCCCATGTTCACCAATTTGTGTGAGTAAATGTAAACCCACAATTGTTGCTGTGTGTCTTCGAGTCACTTCCGACTCGTCACCAAAACTTGAAAGGATGGATGTCAGTCACACCCATATCGTATGGATGGCATTCATTCATAAGATGAATGAATTTAATGAAATGTTGATGTCTTTTTTGTGTTGTTGTTGATGTCTTTTTAAGTGCCAGGTGTTATGCTAAATTCTGGTGCTGAGAAATAGTAAAACAGTTTAAAAAGTAAGCAATGTTGAGCAATAGTAAAAGTTAAAAATGTTGCTGTTAAGTGCCATCTAGTAAGTTTCAACTCGTAAGAGACCCTGTATAGGGTTTCCAAGGAGCCTGCTGGTAGATTTGAGCCACTGACTTCGTGGTTCAAATCAACTTTGCAGTTCAAACCGACCTATGGCCCAGCGCTTATCCTACAGTGCCATACCAGTACTCCAAGATAAACTAGACACATGCAAAATTCTTATTCTATTACTTCACTGTATACAAGAAGTAGAATGGAACATATCATCATTATTCCTTTGTTGTTGTTGTTAAGTGCTGTCGAGTCAGTTCCAACTCATAGTGACCCTGTATAATGTTTTCAAGGAGTGGCTGGTGAGTTTGAACCACCAACCTTGTAGTTCAAACTGACCTTGCGGTCCAGTGATTTATCCTACAGTGCCACGCCAGGACTCCCATTATGCCTACAAACATTATGATTATCATTGTAGAATCTGCATTTTCAGTTACCATTAAAAAATAAAAGGTCTTTCATTATGATGTCAAATAAATAAAATACTTTGTCTTCAAATATAAATGAAAATTCACAGTGAATAAAACATATGTGCAAATAAATATTTTTACTTAGCAAGTCTCGTTGTGCAGTGTTTTGATTACCCTGGTTTTCTGGCTTTTAAAAAACGGTGTCAGATAGTCCCAATAATTTTCTCCTCCTCACTCCCTCCTGTACCTCCATCAACAATTATTTCCATTTATTCTATTTCTTGTTCTGACCCATCCAACCCCAGGGCTTTAGGGAACAATGGGTGAGTGGGAGAGTGGGTAAAAGATTTGTTGTTGTTGTTAAGTGCCATCAAGTCGGTTCCAACCCATAGCGACCCTGTACAGGGCTTCCGAGGAGCGACTGGTGAGCTTGAACCACCGACTTTGCAGTTCAAACGGCTTTGCAGTCTGGCTCATTGACCCACAGAGCCGCACCAGGACTCGGGGTAAAAGATAGAGGCTGTGTTATGAATATGTTCTGAGTGTGAACTAATTTTCTTCTCTTCTGATTAGGCTGAGAATTTGATAGACGGATGGGATTCATGGGTTAAAAGACCTTAGGATCTGATGCTAAGAAGGGTCAAAAGGGAGTCGAACATCAGACACGAGCAATCCCTATTTTACCAGCAGCATCAAGGATGCTTCTGAAGAAGAGATGAAGCGGTTGCAGTCATAGCTTGCACCTATTCCAGACTGAGACTGATTGGAGGGCAGGTCAGTAGAGACGTTGCAGTAGAGAAGCATTGTGGGAGAATGAAAGCGTGGGAGGCTCTGTCTTGTAAGACTTCTCCATCTCACAGGTTTCATTAACTTATCAGTGGAAGCTCTACTCTAGACTTGACTGTTTGGATCCTGCCAGACGTTTTGGTTCTTACTTATGAGGATTAGCATTTCAACCATAAATTCTTGTTGAATTATAAGACCTTTTTCTCAACTGGAGACATGGGTCCTTTCTTAAATATGTTGGAGTCCCTGGGTGGTACAAACAGTACTCTTGGCTGCAAACTGAAAAGTTGAAAGTTCATGTCCACCCAGTGGCTCCTCAGAAAAATTAACTATTGAAAATCCTAGGGTGTATAGCTCTACTGTGACATACCTGGGGTCATCATGAGTCAGAATTAAGCTGATGGCAATTGGTTTTATTGTCATATATGTTGCAAACATTTTCCCTAGGTTGCCATTTGCCTTTTCATTTTGCAAATGATGTGGGTTTACCTCCCAGCTATTTTGTGACAATATAAAATATGATAGACTATATACCTAAAATTTTATGTTGAGAAACAGTTTTTCCCCATTGTATTTATAACGTTATACCAAGGAGCTCTGGTAGCGTGGTGGTTACGAATCGGGCTGCGAACCTTAAGGTCAGCGGTTCGAAACTACCAGCTGCTCCACGGGAGAAAGATGAGGC